AATATCATAGCATATAATGCACCAGCACAGTGTATACTCACAATATCACATCACATAATGCACCAGCACAGTATATACTCACAATATCGTATCACATAATGCACCAGCACAGTATATACTCACAATATCATAGCATATAATGCACCAGCACAGTATATACTCACAATATCATATCACATAATGCACCAGCACAGTATATTCTCACAATATCGTATCACATAATGCACCAGCACAGTGTATACTCACAATATCACATCACATAATGCACCAGCACAGTATATACTCACAATATCATATCACATAATGCACCAGCACAGTATATTCTCACAATATCGTATCACAAAATGCACCAGCAGTGTATACTCACAATATCACATCACATCACATAATGCACCAGAACAGTATGTACTCACAATATCGTATCACATAATGCACCAGCACAGTGTATACTCACAATATCATATCACATAATGCACCAGCACAGTATATTCTCACAATATCGTATCACATAATGCACCAGCAGTGTATACTCACAATATCACATCACATAATGCACCAGCACAGTATATTCTCACAATATTGTATCACATAATGCACCAGCACAGTATATACTCACAATATCGTATCACATAATGCACCAGCACAGTATATACTCACAATATCATAGCATATAATGCACCAGCACAGTGTATACTCACAATATCATATCACATAATGCACCAGCACAGTATATTCTCACAATATCATATCACATAATGCACCAGCACAGTGTATACTCACAATATCACAGCATATAATGCACCAGCACAGTATATTCTCACAATATCATATCACATAATGCACCAGCACAGTATATTCTCACAATATCATATCACATAATGCACCAGCACAGTGTACACTCACAATATCACATCACATAATGCACCAACACAGTATATACTCACAATGTCGTATCACATAATGCACCAGCACAGTGTATATTCACAATATCACAGCATATAATGCACCATATTGACTTGATGGTTACAAGAAGCAACCACTCATTCACATAGTAACTTTTTTTCAAGTAATTGATCTATTAGCCTTCAATCATTTCACTGTAAAATACTAAAATAATATTGAAGATAAATTGTATCAACACATGCCACTACAATAAAGCCAAATGTTTACGAGTGAGTTTGCTAACTTACTGCCCTCACAACGAGACACAGATTTTACTTCTATTTACACTAATACATACGTTATGCGAAAAACAGCAGATATTTGAGACAGATAGAAAGGAGTCAAGTCATTCCCAATTTTTTAAAATTTGTTGAAAGAAGTTTAAATAGTATATACCACTGTACATCTCAGTGAAATTGAATGTAGGAAGAGGTTATTGACACTGTTAATATTCAGTTGCTGGCTTATGGCTTTTGGTACATGCCTATATAAATATGACAAAACTATCCATGCAAGACACAGTCAAGATTTGTAGGATCAGCAGCCAATCAAAACTTGTGTTACAGGTTGCTTTCTAAAGCAAAATATTACGTTTCAGTAAGGCACACTCTAATTGATTGAGAGCTGCTGAACATGATTTTCTGCATAGGTATTTGATCAGATGTAGATAGAGGCGTGTACACCAGCAGCCATAAACTAATCACCAGGCAACCAGGGACTTTACATATATGAGATTTTAATCAGATTGGGTTGGAGCATAAAGCTCAGTGTCCAGTTTTGGAGCATCCTCACTCACACCACAAGCCTCATTAGTATCCTCATTGTAAATGCTTTTAGTTGGTCTCCATACATGTACAGTCATGTCACTAGAACCACTCACTAATACATTATTCTGCATATCAATGTCAGCAACTTCACCATCATGTTCAAGCAATGTGCAGATTGTTTCTGGATCATCATTGGGTTCATGGATCTAAGATAAAAGTATATTAAATTATTGTAAATGGGTGTCAATGGATTGATGAATTTGAGGTTACTACGAAGATACCTCAATATATGCATATGAAGACAGTACAGCTGGAGTATCGGCTGACAGGCAGCGGAGGTCGATGTGACTTCGTCTTGTTATTATACATCTTTTCCTTCCAAGGATACATCATGGGTATGGCGAAATCCAAAAAGTTTAGAACAGAATCAGTGAACTTCTTCGTGTGGAGCCCAGTCAAACCCTGGTGGCAGCCATGTTTGTTTTTATTATTAGAGGACGCTTAAGTACGTTATCATTCCATATTTGGAATACGAATTTCCTAATATAGTAGGATTAAAATACCACGTAAAATACCGTAAAATTACGGCACGCTGTAGCTTATGGCCATACGCTGACAGATGTATAATAATATCAAGTATTGAAAAGAAAAGATGGATAGTATACTAGATACATTAGATGACAGAGAGAGACAGTAATATTCATTGCATGTTTTTCAAACACTGGAGAGAAATAATAATTGAATAAGAAATAAAAGTTGTCAGTTCCCAATATTGAATGTCAATGTTTTCACTCCTAACTTTGTAAAGTGCTGTCCATTTGCCACAGAAATCGTATTCCATATTTGGGACTACATGTACGAGACGAGGCTGTGTGACCATATTCTATTACTGTGAAATACTATATTTTCTCTTAGAACTATCGTTATTTTCGCTGAAGAAATGATTCAGAGAAAATAAAATTCAGCGAATATATATTTTTTTTCTATATTTTACTTTCAACTCGTCAAAAATCAGTGAAAATAAATTTCATACGAAACACCCAAAAAGTCTTTTTAGCAAAAATTAATTCCAGCTAAAATAAAGTATTTTACAGTATCATGGCATAATGTCAATTTAACATAAAGTAGTTTATCTTACAGGATGACCTACCTTGACAGTCTTATCATAACTGCAAGTTACAAGACATCCCAAGTTATGGAGAATACCAGTTAACTTTCCAGTGTGCCCTACATCATAAGTCTGTAAAATACAGATTTAATAGCTTACTGTACAATATTTTATTTTTGCTATAGGAATAACAAGTAGAACAAGCCATGCATGGCACAGTCCCTGTTAGTTATCGAATTTAAGATATATAGTTTTGTTTTTGGTAATATAGCTGGAATATAAACATGTCAGGAATATGATTTTTTAACATTAAAATGATTGACATCTTGTATCTGATCGTCAATTGTCCATACCGAGAGATATTGTACTGAAACAGCATTAACTAAAACAATATCGGCCATTTTGAATACATCTATATATCTATAACCAATCTATAATAAATATATAAAATTTGAACATAATCAGCAGGGTTTTTTCTAGAAAAAAAACGCAAGAGGGAGCACTGGAATTCAGCGGCGCCACCAAGTGGGGGAGATAGGGCTATCCCTACCAGGGTGTGGAGTTTTTAATAAGTCTAAGTTAAAATGGAGCATTAGGGCCAAAATTACTATCAGACAGGTCACAGTTGTAGACATGGCCACATGTGATCCCTGGTCAATCAGAATTTTATGGTTGCCAGAGGATCTGCTCCCAGGGGTAAGGGGCGCATGGCTATGGCATCAGGGCGCTCTGCGCCTGTTCCTTTGTTTGAAAAAATCCCTTATCAGTCAAAGCATGTCAGAGATACGGCTCTAGAAGTGCATTCATTAAAACAAAATGGCCGTCAGTCAGCCATTTTGAATCTGATCTGAAAAATAAAATGACGTGCATCAGGAACCCATAACGTCTAATGTATGTACATGTTTGAACAAAATCAATCCATAAATGCCACAAATGCTTGATTTGTTATGACTTTTTAGCACAAAAAAGGCCCCATTTGGCTGTTTTGAATCAGATAGTCAAACCAATATATCTGTATGTCTATGTCATGATGTATAATGAATATATAAAATTTTAAACATAATCAGTCAAAGCATGGCAGAGATATGGAATGAGAACTGCATTTATTAAAACAATCGGCCATTTTAAATCCGATCTGAAAAATATAATGATGTGCATCAGGAACCCATAATGTCTAATGTATGTACCAAGATTATTATAAAATACATCCAGAAATTTGTTAGCACAAAATTGGCCACTATTTGGCCTTTTTGAATCAGAACATGTAACAAATTGATGTGCATATGTATAATAATAAGTATGATGTAAGTGTGAAGTTTGAATGTAATTGATCCAGGCATGTCTAAGATATAGGGATGGACACACAGAGGTCAATCCATAAGTACCTGTTTTCCGACTGCGTCCGAGCGGGGACTAATTAAAATCTAGTGACAATACATTGTAAGTAACACAACATACCACGACTCTGCAATCTGTGGCATTGCAGTGCATCATGGGAAATGTCATTTAAATGGTGACTATGTATACAAACATTACTGTGTGTATTACAAGTACACTATTGTCTGCCCTTCAATGGACTTATTGTTGCTAACAGTTCGGATTACCACGTTGACTTTAATAAACTTATCATTGACTGTCATTTGAAAAACTTTAAAATAGAGTATGCTTAAATCTTGCTTAACTACCAAACTAATCTCATAACGATATTCAATATAATATATTCATTATTGTATATGACAGTAAAATAGAATACTTCATGCATTTTAATGGCCTAAAACAGTGATTTCACAGAGCACACAGACAAGACGCATTGTGCGATTTGCACACTGAAATCTGGTTGCCTCTTCTTATACACACCTAAAGCTTGAAGAATGCATTATATTATAACTGATATAGCATATTAAGAATGAAATCTCACCTTGACAATATCAAAGACTCCATCCCTGGCATCCATTAGATGTAATAAACCTGTTTTTTCACCAATCCATATTTGACCCTGGCACTCAGGATTATATGATATTGTCATTGGAAACTTCTCCATCTATTCAATAAATACATTCACTCACATTATTAGTGACAGTGAACACAAGTACATTGTATTAGTTATCCAAAACACAAAGCAGATAGACTTGTACCAGAAGAGAAAAAAACACAAGGCAGAAAGACCTGTACCAGATGAAGAGATGAAACACAAGGCAGATAGACCTGTACCAGAAGAGGAGAGGTACCAGAAGAGGAAAGAAACACATAACAGATAGACCTGTACCAGAACTACATTCACTCACATTATTAGTGACAGTGAACACAAGTACATTGTATTAGTTATCCAAAACACAAAGCAGATAGACCTGTACCAGAAGAGAAAAAAACACAAGGCAGAAAGACCTGTACCAGATGAAGAGATGAAACACAAGGCAGATAGACCTGTACCAGAAGAGGAGAGGTACCAGAAGAGGAAAGAAACACATAGCAGATAGACCAGTAGCAGAGAGAAGTACCAGAAGAGAGAAACACAAGGCAGATAGACCTGTAGCAGAAGAAGAGAGAAACACCTAGCAGATAGTCCTGTAGCAGGAGAGGAGAGGAAACATAAGGCAGATAAACCTGTAGCAGAGAGGAGAGGTACCAGAAGAAGAGAAAAACACAGGGCAGATAGACCTGCACCAGAAGAGGAGAGGAAACACAAGGCAGATAGACCTGCACCAGAAGAGGAGAGGAAACACAAGGCAGATAGACCTGTAGCAGAAGAGGAGAGGAAACACAAGACAGATAGACCTGTACCAGAAGAGGAGAGAAACACATAGCAGAAAGACCTGTAGCAAGAAAGGAGAGGAAATACAAGGCAGATAAACCTGTACCAGAAGAGGGGAGGTACCAGAAGAGGAGAGAAACACAGGGCAGATAGACCTGCACCAGAAGAGGAGAGGAAACACAAGGCAGATA